ACACATATATGGCCGCATGGAATGGCATTTTCTGCTGTTTTTTTTTACTGCTATTTCAAACTGTTTGAATAAACATTGGAAATGTGGAAGATTTCTGTAAGGGACCAAGACCTACAAAGAATTCTGTTTGATTGAGTTTCAAAAACTTACAGGAATCTAATTATGAAGTAAAAAAACCTCTAAATGCACTTTTGCACATCTCGTTCTTTAACAAACTTCTCCTATTGATTATATCTGAAGGATGTAAAAAAAATTACTTCCTTAAACTACGTACACACATTGCTGATGGACACAAGAGGAAGTTGTTATAACTCAGTAATGTCTGATTAGTCCCAAATTTACCAGCTATGTTAGCAGCCTATGTCTGAACACTCTCTCGAGTATAGCGCCACCAGGCAGTACTTCTTTTTTTACCAATCTTGACATATGTGACAAGAACATCAACCAAAATATATAGAATCAAAAACCTTGGGATCATGGCTGCCTGAGATGTGGCTTTAATTTGCCTTTAATGGACTTATCAAACGGATGGTTTTTAATGAATGGCACGAATACTCATATAATAATAGTTGTTGCTTTAGGACCAGAGATGCGCCAGGAACGGCGCCAAACAGTGAGGCTCCCAGAGTGAATGGAAGATGAGAGAGATCAGAAGGTGGAAGCTGATGTGTATTCCAGGAGAGGAGGAATCCAGGTGAGAAACTGTTGGAGAGAGGTAAGAGAGATGTGAGTCTGACATGTAGCTGTGATGGATGCAGGACCAGAAACGAGCTGGAGTGAGGAGAAAAACAGCTGCCATGTATGCAAAAAAGATTCTTAAAATGGATTTAATGTAAATTCAAGCCTTCTTCTCTCAGTAAATAAGATGACAGAAGTTCAATATCAACAATATTTTCTTGGTTCAATTAAAACTGAATTTGGAACAAACAGACCAGATGTCATTTTTGGGTGAATGCTCACCATACCACTAGCCAAAGCAAAGTTTGACTTGGTGTTATGCCTGTCACACACTGGCACAAATCCGCAGAAGTACCAAGTTCCAAATTCCTCTGATTGATTTTCATTTGTCCTGATCCCAGGCTGGTACCTTAGCCCCCAGTGAGAGTGGCAGGCAGCTGATGGACAGTTCATTTAAACTGAGACAATCACACAATCACTCCAGGCTGTCTTTCTCCCTCTCCCTCTCTCTTTCTGTCTCCTGTTCCTTCACTTCTTTTGCTCTTTTCTCGAGAGGCAGACAAAGCTATCGCTGCGAGGGACGCTGTGCTGATTGTAAGCCTGCATTGTGTGCTCCTGCTTTGCAAAATGAGCGGCACGACTGCACTCTTCTAATAGCAGCTGTCAATTAAAACAACCTCCCAATCAGACCCTTGTGGTATATACTATATGTATATTCCAGGAGGATGGCATTAGCTTGACAGCGTGGGCTAAATTGGCACGTGAGCTAATATAGAAAGAGCTAATTAAACACTGTCTGCTACTAATCAAACTCTCCAGTGTTTACATCCCTGTCTCATTAATCAAATACAACACAACATGGTTGAGACGGAGCAGCATTGTGTGGATGCATCGGTTGACTAGTTGCACGAGGTCATGTCATGTCCCAACATGAGTTTAACATGCAACACCTAGTGACTAGAGATATTGAGAAATTACCAGCCATACGCTTGGATCTTAATTGAGGCGCCTTGTAAGCAGATACAGAAAGACAAGATGATTTCCCCAGTAGATGTCAGTATAATCTTCACAACGCTCAGGAGCACTCATGCGTGAATGGCCAGCTCAAAGACAAACACCTCTTAGGAAAAAAAAGGTGCAGTGGTTGCACTAATCAATGACACGTTGAAGCACAGCACAAGGACAGGAAGTTCAAAATAATCTATTTTAGTATTAAACAGCAACACTTAAGTGGTCATTGAAGGACTCTTAATTTGGAGAGGCATCTTGAAATAAAGATCTGCTTGGGAAAATAGATAGTAAAGAATGATGACCACAAAATTGAGTAACCCTTTCATTATTATGAGCTGACAGCAAACACATGTGAACTCACACGCAGTCAACCAATACTAGCGCCATGCTGAAAGGGAACCAATCATGGGTGGCAGGGAGTTAATCACTCCCATTGGAACTAGGAATCAAACCAGCGACCTTTTGATTACACGTCAATCTCTTTATTGATAAGGCCACAACTGCCAACTTTTAACCCCTTTATGTTAGCGTAAATTATTAAAAATGTGGTATTCCCCACATTTTTGCTATTTCCCAAAGGAATATTTACACTCACTAACCACATTATTAGGTACACCTTGCAAGTACCAGGTTGGACCCTCTTTTGCGTTCAGAACTGCTTTAATCCTCCAGGACACAGACTCAACAAAGTACTGGAAACATTCATCCGAGAGTTTGGTCCATATTGACACGAAAGCATCATACAGTTGCTACAGATTTATTGGCAGCACATCCATGATGACATCTCAGATTTGTCATGCCCAAGCAATACGAAGATGGGTAAACACTGTCCTCATAAAGGGATGACATGGTAAGCTAAACTCTGACCCTACCGTCCAACTGTCGCAGCAGACCAGGCAACATTTTCCCAATCTTCTTTTTTCCTCTATGCAGAGTCTATGCAGAATGTTGCCTCCTGTTCTTAGCTGACAGGCATGGCATCTGGTGTGGTCTTCTCCTGCTGTAGCCAATCCACCTGAAGGTTTGACATGTTGCACGTTCAGAGATGCTCTTCTGCAATCCTCAAAGTTGAGTTACTGTTGCTTTTATATCAGCTCGTACTAGTCTGACCAACCTCCTCTGGCATCAACAAGCCATTTGTGCCCACAGAATATGCTCACTGGATTTTTTCTCTGTCTACCCTAGAGATTGTTTTGCGTGAAAATCCCAGTAGAGAAGCAGTTTCTGAAATACTTGACCTGCCCATCTGATACCAACAACCAAGCCACGTTCAAAGTAACTTAAATCCCCTTTTCTTCCCCATTCTGACGCTCGGTTTGAACTGCAGTAGGTTATCCGTGCCAGGACCGTGCCTGAATGCATTGAGTTGCTGCCGTGTGATTGGCTGAATTGAAATTTGGGGTAACAAGTAGGTGGACAGATATGCCAAATAAAGTGTCTGGTGAGGATAATGTTGTTTTCACGTGAATGCCCAATCAGAGCAAACAGGACCTACACCTACTAACATTGTGCCAAATATCACTAAAGTCTGTAGTCCTGCTGTTGGGATGTCAAGATGTGGACGACCAATTCCGCTTTTGTTTATTCCATGAAATATCCCTTGACTTATGACCTAGCTCTTGTAGCTAGCACAAGCTGTACACAGCACATATCAGGGAGAACAATCGGGTCAGAGTCAATGCCAATCAGTGTTTCCACTCACTGGCTAAGATCAGGTGACTTGTGATTTTGCTGAAAAAAATTACATTCTTAAATGAATACACCATTATTGAATATTTCATTGGCGAAAATCAGCATTTGGTCCTAGCAGTTAGATCCGACAATGAATAAATGGTTGGAAAAATATTTATTTTTAAGATAATTATGTAATTTAGATACACCTTTTGCCCCTACACTTTAATACAATGCCAATGACTTCTTAATTGGCAACAGCGGTACCATGTCACTGTACCTCCTCTTAAAAACCCGATACAAATGTCACTTATTGATTAGTACTTCGCCAGGGCTGGCCATACATCCAGGGGCTGCCAGAAAAGGAGGAAGTAAAAAGTGCAGCTTCCCCCAATCTTAAAATGATTTGGTATTACGTCTTCAGAAAACAATAAGCCCATTAGATAGAGCTATATATAACCGTCACTTGTTATGGAGAGGCCTAGTTGTCATGGAAATAGTCATGGAACTCCCCCATCATTCTTTTTTTTTATTCCATATTTATTGAAATCCTTGTATTTTTTGTGCCTACTCATTTCTTTAAAATCTTATTTCGCACAGTGTTTTATTTATAGTGTATTTGGAAGGTAATGTCACTTGTTTACCATTTTAAGTAAAAAAAAAACATGATTTTTTTTTTATTTTAATTTAAATTCTTTTATTTTTTTATGCCTGCTCATTTCTTTAATATCTTATTTGCACAGTGCTTTATTTATATTGCCTTTATAAGTTAATATCATTTTTACTTTGGGACTATTTCAATCTAATTGTAGTTTATGTCGGCTATTATATTTGTATTCAATTTAAAGTATATTTTTTGTATTTGTTTCTAATTCTTTTTGAAAGTGCAGTTGCTTTATTTATTTAAAAGACTGAGGCAAAGCTATTAAGTTGTTTTTTTTAAGTATACGTACTAAAACGTAAAATTTACTGCGATGCAAGGGAGCGACATCTGGGGCGAACTGCACTTCACTACAGGTTTGATAAACCTAGAGTTCTTAGAGAAAAAGTAAAAAATAAATGTGCATTATAAGACAATGAAAGTGCTTTTGGAGCATTTTAATCTGTATTTGGGGAACTTTAAAGCACATGCACATTTAATAATATTTAAATTTGTCAATCTTTATATTGCAGATTTAAAAATATATATTTTAATGTGAAAAAACTCCAGTATTTGTTACTCATGACGAATGCTTCACTCAAAAAAATCCAGTTCTGTGCCTGCCTCTAGATGAGTGAACCAAACTATTAGAGGTTATTGGATCAGGTGGCTTTTAATTTTGGAGCATCAATTGAAGCTGGCTCATTTTAGGTGTAGCCTCTGTTAGGAGTAATTTAGCACATACATCAACTATTATATTGGATATCAGATATCCAATCTATTATATATTTGTCCTGTCAACATCTAACTTATTAAATCCCATTATTTGCAGTTATAATAGGGCATTTCACTCTGGTTAAACAATTTATTTGTCCCAGACCATCTTAAACAGCTTATTTCACGTTTTATCAAAATACCCTTTGTAATATTTTCGCAAGTAGACTTAAACATTTGTTGTCTTGACTCCTACCTGTAAAGATAGTCAGCTATTGACTGTTGATTCCCTGTGACTCAGTAAGTAGAGCTTTGCACTTTCAATGCAAAGATTCTGGGTTCAACTCCCAGGAAAAGGAAGAACTGATCAAAATGTTTTAATTCCAAGAAATACACATCACTTTGGATTAATGTGTCTGCCAAATGCATAAATGTAAATATAGCATTACAGATCATTTGTAATTAGTTCCCAATGCTGATAACAAGAAAAGCTATCTGTTAGGTCTTTCTCTTTGTTGCTTTTCCCCATCCTGAGTGTGTGTGTTGTACTCATTTTACTCAGCTGCTGCTGTCTGATTAGAAGCCACCTGCTGCGCATTGGATACTAATCAAACAACCTTCTTATATCCCTCTCACTCTCTTCCCTGTCAGACTATTCTTGCCAATTTCTCATAGAAATCGCTGCATCCTTAACGATCCTTTCATTTCAGTCTGAGTCTTGTCCCACCCACCCCCAGCTTTGAGTTTAATCTCACTGTCTATTTTTGAAAATGGCGGTTGTCAGGAACTGGGAGGCTCTCTAGGTGCTGAGCTACTCGGGGTGCACTGATGCCTCTGAGCATGTGCTCCTTGTAGACTGTGACTGAAACCAGTCATTGAATTAATATTCAGGCCTCCGTGCAAGCCTCTGCTATTCTCTGAGAATTGAATAAGTCTGAGTATTTTGCATTTGGGTCTTCTTCTGTGCTTACTTCTCACCGAACACTAGCTTAACTAAACACAGCTGATTCAGCAACTGAAAGTACTGCAGATATGTAGCTGTGCGTGACTAAGTTGCCATGAGTGAAAGAGAATGAAGATAGCTGGGATTTTATGAAAGGTTATTTCCACTCTTTTATCTAATTTTAAATTTAATTATTACATTTCTCTCTAAAATATCATTTGTACAGTTTATTTCTACAATGTCCAATTACTCAATGGGAAAAATTTCGGATGTCCGTGTTGTTAAAGCTCAGAAATACAAATGTTGACACTCTTTATGAGCCCAGTTCAGCTCCTTTAAACTCATTGTAAAATTTGCAAAATGTTGTAAATATGAATTCGTCAAACCTATTTAACACCAAAGGATTTGCTAAGATAATGTGATTGAAATTTACTTTACCAAAATCGTTTTAATAAACATTTGAAGAATGAATATCCAGCGGTGCAAGTAAAAGTGCCACCGAAGAAGCGAATGAAACAATTGTTGTGTACAGGAGTATAGTTGTTTTTTCCAAGCACAAGTGTGCTGCTTTCTCGCGGCATGGATTTGATGCTGTGACACGGTTCTGTGAGGACGCGCGGCACGGTCACAGCAGGTTCGAGGCAGAGCTCGAATCCCGTTAAATCCGCGGGTACCGGAGCGCGTCATCATCAGCTGAAGCCCCGTTCCCAGCGCCAGGTCAAAAGACACACCGAGACTTTTATTAACCTGAGCTGTCATCGAACACACACAAAAAACCAACATAAATCTAATCACATTTAACGATGCCGCAGCATAACAAATGAACATTGCGCGCGCGACGGTTGACGGCAATAAAAGCGAAGTGCGATGATGATGAGAGTATGATGCTGTGAAAGGAGCTTCAGCGTCTCCTCCCCTCCCTCCTGCACCCTCACTACTCATTTCCACTTCTCATTTCGCGTTCACCCTCGAGAAGAGCCCCAACCGTCCAGCATCATGTCCTCAGACGTCCAGCTGTGCGCGCAAACGGAGCCGGAGAAAAGCGACCGAGCGGGAGCCCGGAACCACTGAGACCAGGTAGGACCATCCATCCGCGCGTGTGCTGCTTGTTATCTACAAAACATTCCCGCTGATTTGTTGCATCACAGCCAGGGCTTTCATAAGAAACTGGCGTGAAGTGTTGAACGCGCGCGCGCTCCGAATTGCGGGGAATGTGGATTGAGCTGTTGAACTTCACGCTCCATGGAGACTCCAGGTGCAAAACGGATTTCACTGGTTTCCCTGTAAAACTCGCTGAAGCGCCTCAGCAACTCTTACTGTTCACTTCTGAGTCAGTAAAAAGATTTGAGGAGAAACGCACCTCAAAGCTCATTTTACGCGCAGGCGTCTAAACCTTGCATTAATGTTGGCTTTATTCCCACAATGAAAAACATTTAGTTTTCAAAGAAAAGAGAGAGTTGTGACTTTCGTTTTATGATTCAATAGTTTTCGAACTGAAGCTGAACGCGCAAAATCTTTGGTTTGTATCTTAAATGTTGATTTATGCGTACACCAAGATATTAACCGATTTTCCATCCCAAAGTGGATAATTACGCACTCTCTTACTTTGCAAACTCAACCTTTTAATAAGAAGCAAATCGATGAAACTCACAAAAACGTGTCCAACTCCACAGTAATGTGGAAATCCGCAGAGTGCTTTGCGCTTTGGTGCTTGGCTACTGCTGGAAGGGAGGCTTTATCGAACGCGCTTGAGTAGGTTTTTCCAAACGAAGTTGAGACTTGTGTTTGTGCACAGATTCAGTTTGCGCTTAAAGGAGCGGCCAAATAAAACTCAAGCGCATCTAAAGCTTTTTCTCGGAGGACTGGGTGAGGATTAAATGTGACCGATCGATACAGTTTAATCAATAACTTGATCTGGAAGTTTTCCACCGGAGTCTCAGAAGAAACTGATTTATTTCCTCAGTTGGTCTGTTCATGGATCAGAACACGCGCATGGCATTGATCAGATCTCTGCTCTCGCTCCATCATCGATAATCAAAGCGCGGAACGCGGCAGGTGCTTAGAGGCACTATTTTTAACCGTCGTATTTACCAAATAACTCATCTCGGAGAAAATAGAGATTTAACCATGACTGCTCATAATTTAGCTATCGACTCCACTTGTGCTCCTAAGCGATTGATTATAGGAAAGGATACGAGCAGCATATTGATTACCTCTGGGTTTGGGTAGCTCGGACGCAGTCTCTCGATAACAAAGTGCGCGGATGAAGGGGTTAGAATGGATAATTAAGAAGCAAAGTGGCCAAACTATTCACCGGTTAAATCTGAAATCCACTGATATTCACAGGCGATGGGAATAGAATTTCCCCCCAGCACCCCCACCCCAACTGATAGCGGTTGATTCCCCACCCGCATGGTGACTCTCCTGTATATATACACACACAAGGTACTGTGCACAAGTTTTAGGCAGGTGGGAAAAAAGATTCAAACATTGAAATACACTGGTACCCCGAGATACGAACTTAATGCGTTCCAGGGTGATGTTAGTATCTCCAACATTTCGTATCTCGAAGCAAGTTTTACACGTAAAGCACCTAATCCATGCAACGGCTCTCAGAAACAACAGTATAAGTAGATGAAAAAATTTAAAAACCAGAGAAAAAGCAAGAAAACGTTTCTTCAATCCTTAACTCTACACATTGTTAATGTAATAAATGATAATAAAACACAGGCAAAATACGTATGAGGCGATGTGTTGGAGGAGGTGGAACGGGTGGCAGAAAACATTACAGCACTACATATGAAAGTTAACTTTCTCGAGATATTTCACGAATTACTGACACCAACACTGTTTCAAGCACGAGTGGAGAAAGATGGAGAGATGCTTCTGAGAATGGGTCATGGGGGTTTCTCTAAGTTGCGCTACAGAACACCACTTTCCACGTTATAAACGTCAATTCTTTTACGATACCTTGACTTTAACATTTGTTATAGCACATTATTAGTAATCTATATATAATATTTTGCTGTGTTGTTGAAGTGTTTTGAAGTGCATCAGACCCTTTTTGAACCTGGAAGCGCAACGCGATGTCATACAAACAAGCAGAAAATACAGCACAACTGCTTGTGGTCGTTTGTATCTCAAGTTTTCCGCCGCATCTCAAAGCAAAAAATTTCCCGCGAGACCTTTTGTATCTCGAGCACTTCGTAACTTGAAGCATTCACATCTCGGGGAACCACTGCATTTCAAACATTGAATTGATCTTTTTTTAAATTCACCCGTGAACAAAAGAAAACTCCAAATCAAACCAATATTTGTGGCCACCCTCTACACAGATCTTCTCACATCCTTCTGTCTCTTCTTGTAATCCCAGACACACTCGATGATGTTGAAATCAGGGTTCTGCCGGGGCCATGCATCACTTCCAGTAATTCTTGTTCCCTATCATACTGAAGATAGATAATGACGTTGGCCGTATGTTTGGGATCAATGTCCTGCTGCAGAATACATGTATCATACCTGATAGTTGTGCGAGCTGGAGGGGTATCTGCCTGTATTTATCAATATTGAAAATACCATTAATACAAAGCAAATCCATGTAGAAACAAATGGAGCCCCAAACTTTCAAGGAACCTCCACCATGCTTCTCTGTTGCCTGCAGGGACTTATCATTATATTGTGTCTGTAGCAGAGTTTGGGTGTTCCTCACCCAGATTTAAGCGTCCTACACAGCCATTTCAGTTTTAGGTACATTACTGAGTTTCAAACACCATTTAACATTGATGATCATTAGCATATTATTGTTTGTTATAGCAGGTGAATCGTACACATGAGTGAAATCCTAGAACATCTATAAATCTGTATGAATTGATGCTGGTTTGAAGGAAAAAGGCATTGGCGACAGCGAATATTGATTCAATGCAGATTTTACAAAATAAATTTACAAATAAAAAAAAAAAGTACAGCACTTAACACTTTATATAATATCTAAGTAACCATTTACTGCTATTGCATTTTTGCAATGTTCACAAATGTCATAAGGAAATAATATTGGTTTTAAAGTTTAAAGGTGGTTCTGGCCTGTGGTGTAGTGGACGGTGCGCAGAACATATATACTCGGTTGCGCATGGCGATGCAGGTTCGAGTCTCGAGTCGTCTTTCCCATCCCACCCCATTCTTTCTCCGCCTTTCTTCCTGTATCCCTTGACTGTCCTGTCTGTTAAAAAAATGAAAAACCAATAAATATATATAAAAAAAAGGTGGTGGGAGTCCACAACAAACCCTCCCCTAAAACAAACCAACATATCTTGATGATGATGATAATGCGTTCAACTTATAGCACTTTTTGGAGCATTATTCATTCACTCTCTGGTGGCACTCTCAAGGCAACCTTGGCTAACTTGGGGCAGTCTGACAGAACGTGGTCGCCATTTTACGGTGATTTGTAGGGTTTCTTTAGGGGTGGGTAGAAGCAGTTACACACCATCCATACAGGGTAATGTGGGTGAAGTGGTTTTAGAAAAATAACTCCCATCCCTCCTTTAAATTAAGTAACTAGGGACCAACTGGATAAGGAGAAGTGATTAACCGTCGTTCTCCCTCACCTGTGGACAAGTTACCAGCATTCCCTACTGCTCCCTGGGTGTCACAGCGGTTAAAGCAGTTAATGGCATGTTTAAGTGAAGGTATTTGGATGAAAGAAAAAAAAGAGTAATAATCCACATTATCAGTCACTCCATATATAACCTTTACATCACTTCTACTTAATCTTTCACTAAAATGTTTGAATTCAAAAGAAAATAAAATCTAAAAAAGTGACCAAATATAGATGCTGTGTGCCAGTCAGATACCCCACATAAAGCTCATTTGCGGCACTTACAGGCTTAGTCCTTCTTAAGCATCACAAGCATTCTCAAGAGATCCAACGTGGTCGGTTCTAAGTAAATACAGATTAAAAATGCTGCAAAGGAGGCTCTTTTCATGCTCTCAAAGGAAATCAATACATGTTTCTTCACTTGACTCAGTTCAAAATTAAAAGACAGAGCAAATATGATCCAGCTATTGTGAGTTCAATGCATTATTACAAATATACACGATGGATCATCTATCGATTGCTGGTGGAGGTCTAGGTCACATCCATCTGTTGTACATGTCTAGTTTCTTCTGTTTGGTTATATATATATATATATATATATATATATATATTTTTTAATTTGAGTTGTCTTTATCCGTGGCCTTTACGTGATGATGGTTTTGCGATGGTTTTCAGTCAAGCGGTTAAATCTTTCAAGGAAGCATGCAAGTGTGTAATGTTCATTACCGTCGGGATGCTTTGCAATGTCTTCCGTCTCTTTCTCAGTGTCTTATAATGGATTAATCTGATTATTTATTAGTTCAGTGCATTAAAGTAATGTGTTTGCTGCATTTTAAAGAATGTCAACTTATTCAAGCACAACCAATATACGAAAACTGACCTTTTACAACAGCTGACGCACAAAGTTAGTCACACAAAAAAGTGTTACGTGATCAATGTTCATGAAGTTTGTATCATTTAGAAGTGTTAACAGGGCTATTGAGATGATGTCAGGTTGATTGACAGCATCTCCCACTGGACACACATTGTGCAGACAGTCTGCTCCTCAAACAGTTAGTGTAACGAGTCAATGAGAGACTGGAGCACTGTGTGTGAGGACATGGATAGTTGCTTTTGGTTTATTTGCACAGCACTTGTCCATCAGAGAAAAGACGTGATTGGCATACTGTTAAAGGTTCCTAACTGCATGTGGGGAATCACAGCAGCCAGATAAAAGCTTGTACAGTTTGATAAGTATTTCTCATTCTAATCGGTATCATTCCCCAACACTCTTAAAGAACCCCCAGTGGTAGAGCAGCTCCTGGACTCCAAACTGTGCCTTGAGGTATTTAAACAATGTTCTCCTCCAAAAGAATAAATAAAATACCGATGGAGAAAACTTGCTCCAAAAAGGTTAATATTACAGGCTTGAACCAGCCTTGACAACGAGCCTCACCTCATGAGTTTAAGTACCAGCTTTTTAACAAATAGTTTTTCATTACATTACAAATTAGAACAAACAGTGTTTATGTTTATGACAAAAAAAGTCAAAACAATGTGAAAATTGTATCACATTCTCTCTGAAACCTTATACACTGTTCCAAGCATATTTTGTTCCATTGTGCTTTTTTCGAGTCAGAACTTTGAAAAACACAAGCCATCTCACAGGTCTTATACTTCCAAAAGTTATTTCTTCTTTTCACCACTGGGCGATTGGACATTTTCTCACATTTTAACTTGAATTACCTCGCAAATTATGTGTCATAACTCATGTAATGTTCATTTAAAACTAACAATATCAAAACTAAAAACCATTTTGAAACCTACCCATTATATTTGAAATTAAAATGAAACAGCCGGTGCGATTGGCATGCACATCGGTGTGTGCAGATGCTTCAAAGGGTTAATTATGGGATTGATCGCAGAGTTTCTTCTAGTTTCTACCGCTGCATTTCAGAGGTATTAACATGAGAACAGCCACCATGACGGGAAGAATCTTTTCTTACCAGAGTTCTTTGAGCAAGTTATTGCAAGTTATCAATAAATGTCCACAAGGAGAGTTCATTTGCACATTCTACAGGGTTCTGAGGAAAAGCTCGAAGCTTTCACAATCATGTGGAAAATAGTGAATGGAAAGCACAGTGATGTTAGATGGTTTGATCTGCAGGAGAAAGAGCGGTGCCTTTCATTCTTGAAAGATTCATGACAATGGACTCTACACTCTGTTTTCTCCAACCGGATTCGCTTATTGTCACATATTGGTTTATCTCAGATCAGCAGTTTTTTTTAATCAAAGTTGAGGGATATATTTTCTAGCAACAGTGTTATCACAACTTGGCACAATAAGTTATTTTGTAAATAAATGTACTGTATTGGGTTGTTTATATTATTGTAATATACAACAGCATCTATGCATTAAAACCTTTTTGTATTGAAATATATTTGGTTCAAATGCTATATTCAATATTAATTAAGTAGCTTTCCTGTGGCACAGATGGTAGAGCATTGCGGTAACAATGCAAAGGTTGAGAGTTCAAATTCCTAGAAAAGCAACTGACGAAAAAAAAGAGTTCATTCGTTTAAAGGTAATTTGCTTTGGATAAAAGCGTCTGTGAAATGCAAAAATTTAAATGTATATAGCATTGTACAAATTTAATTAATTTAACATTAGTTTAATCTTCTCGTGATTTTGGATTTCACAATGGTGGACTTGACCTCAACCCTCCTTTGTGAAGTCTTTGTGATGGCTGCTTCCCTCTGCAAACATCACAGATTTTAGCGAATCCAACATAAAGCTGTAAAATGTTGTATATAGTAATATTCATTCATTTTCCTGCCCTTTTATTCCCTTTCGGGGACACTGGGGTCCGATGGTGCCTATCTCCAGCTCATATCGGACGAGAGGCGGGTGTACAACCTGGACAGGTCGCCAGTCCATGCCAGGGCAACATTCACTCACACATTCACATCTAAGGGGAATTTAGATTTTTCAATAAACCTAACCACATGTTTTTGGGATTGTGGGGGAAACCGGCGTACCCGGAGGAAACACACGAGGAGAACCTTGAACTGACAACCCTCTAACTTGAAGGCCACAGTGCTACCCACTTTATTGTTTTGTGCTTCTTGTTGGGTATTGAAAAGCACTCACATTTAAAGTTATTATTTATAATGATAGTGGGTTTAAAAAGGCAAGGCAAGTTTATTTGTATAGCACATTTTGTACAAAGGCTAATTACTATTTTTTATTATTTAAAAAAATTGTTTAACAAGGTACAAGGTTGAATCACCTAAATGCTAAACGTAGAACAGACTGAAATGCTGTGGTGATTATTTACGGCAATGCTTTTCCAATGAGAGGGATAGTGTTTCTTTATCTTAAACTAATTCCACTTCCAGGCCAAGTCCCCAGCTTTAATGTTTGAATAAACATTTTATTCCAGTTCATTGAGAACTTGATTTAAATATTTATTGATGATGATGATAATAATAATAATAATAATATTAGCAATAATGCATTTTATTTCTGATGCCTTCAAGGGCACCCCTGAGGTGGAATTTGAACCTTTGAAGATAAACTGATTGACTGATCAACAGTGTTGCAAAATAAATGTAATCATACCAGGTCTTAAAGGTCTCTTATCAGGGTCTAATGGCTCTGTAGTTTGCCATGTCTCTGTTGTTTCCTTTCTCCCAATCTTCTCTTGGAAACTGTTTATTTAAGACCTGTTGCTGTGGAAACATGCAAATAGTTCCTAATGTCAACCAATCATACTATTTATTTATTTATTGCTAGTACTATGTAAGAAGTCAAAAGTTCTCCACTGCTTGGTGCAACCCTTATCTATTTCAAGCTGGCCTTGCTCAAACAACAATTATTTGTGATTTCAAAACTTGAATTTGAAACAACCTGGTTTTCCTCAACCATATCGTTTCTATACTTTATGGAGCAATTGAACAGGAAATAGTCATCAGTTTGTTTTAAAACATAGAACTATAGAGTGGCAGCAAATTTGTTAGTTACCATGAAATTACTCTCGTAGCGTGTTTGCAAATCAAACCGAGATATTTAGCAGAAATACCTGGTGTTCTCTTTCCTTGGATGTGACTGCGATGACAAAACATTCATTTTTGGCTGAACTCTTCCTCTAATGATCTCTCACACTCTCTCCTGCATCTCATCAGCTTCACAGCAGGTTTGCAAAACCTCCGTCATTTGTTTCACAAAGGGAGACAAATGAAAAAGATATGCAAATGTACTTACTGTTTTCTGGAGCCTGAACAGCTCAGCCCAGAGGAGAGAGGTGGCTCCTTCACAGCTCAAGAGACATAATGCTGTTCACATTCACTTTATGCTGCAACTTGTTTCATGTTTTCCCCGAGGACAAAAAAGAAAAGACGCATATTAGTTCGTTCTTGTGAGATATCGAACGAGTGGCTAGGGGCATGAAGGGAACTGAGGTAAACCTTAAAATGGGCACCCAACTCTGTTTGAAAAGGAAAGAAATAAGCCATTAAGCACCAAGATGTGAAGCATTTAGCACCAGGACACGAACTACAAAATTACTCCATAATATATCACCTTATCAGCCAAACAAAAATAAAACCTAGCTGGCATCGTGCTACTTCATTGTCATCATGGTCATGAAACCACACTTTCTATATAGAACTAAATGGGGTTCTTTGGCTCGTAATCACAGGAGAACCTTTTTTTAGGTGCCAATTTAACATTTATCTACAAAGGTGCTATACAGAACCAATGTTTAAAACTGATATTTATTTAGAACCAATCATCAAATGAATGAAATAAATAAACTTTGGAATAAAATATGACCAGCATCTGTTTATAGCACATTAAAAACAACAAAGAACCACTTTAGAACCACAAGACCCCAAATGGCAAAGAAATTGTGCTTCTTTATACAAAGTGCAAATAAAGTACCCCAAAAACCACAAAGAACCAGTGAAGAGCCAAAAAGAGCTTAATGGGTTCTTTAAAGTGAAAAAGTGCTACACAGCATCCTCAAACCAGTGAAGAACCAGAGAAGAATTCTTTTTTAAGAGTGTATGAAACATCTACAGTAAAGTTATTTGTCGATAACGCATACAAAGTTAGGCTCTTGGTCCCAGTCTGTCTCTGAAAGGATCTATATGGATATGGATCTATATAGATTTTGGTATTTTTCATTAAAAAACTTTTCAATTTAGTTATAACAAATGTCAGAACACATTGGAAAGTTTTGAAAACAATGTATGAAAGGTGAAAAATTACCATACAATTACAATAACTTGCTCAAAAAAAGACTTTTGTGTTCCTTCTGTAACATGTGACATGTTTGGAACTTATGACGCTTTTCCAATGCACTAGATGTTCAGTTCATTGAGGTTTTAACAGCTTTACCACTGCGTTCTGGCTGTGGAACCGACACCATTTCTGGAAGTCGCATCAAGGAGTTATTAGAGAACCATTCTCTTGATTGGTCGACCAAACATGGCTGATTGGTCTGAGAGAGTTGTCATTGTTTGCGTCATTGAACTGCACAAACACTGAGATTTGTTCCATTTACATGCGAGAAGAAGCAGAACGGTAAAGTTCCAGATGTTTCCTGATCTCATGTCGCACTCTCTATTACGTCATGAAAGGGGTGGCGTGAAAATTCTCTGACGATGGCTATCACAACACAACCTCTCTGACGTGACACTAAAGCCTATGGAAAAGCAAGCAGGCCGAACTGAACTGTACCGAGCTGCACCATGCCGTGCAGTGGAAAACTGCCAATAGTTTCAAAATCAAATCTGCTGCCTCTCAGTTAGAAAGTAGCTGCTTTGAGGAGCTAACTGGAGTTTGTCTGGTCCTTGTGTGGGTTTCCCCACAAAGCAACCTTTCCAATGTGAGCTGGAGACCCTGATGAGGAAAAGAGGGTAAAGATTTTTTTTTTATTATTATTATTAATGACCACATTTGATCACTTCTTGCTTTCTCTGATGATCAAACTCATGATCTCCTTTTTGCACATTCCAGGTTTACTGACAGAGCCAAAGGAAAACCAAACAAGCTTATCAAATAATTAGCAAATTTGGTATACAAGTAGCCTTCTGTTTAGGCTCTTCTGAAGATTCGAAAGCAAAAACCCTCCCCCATCGCTGCACCTCCCTACTTGGGTTCCTTGCACGACACAGGGCTCTTCCTTTGACAAATTACCTAGTACTCAATGAGTTGCTTATATACCCGAGACTAAACATTGATCTCTATTCTCAGTTCAATAAATTGAAACCAGTTTTCTTTCATTGTGCTTTGGAGCTTTATAGTTTTGTATATTTTATGTTATTGTAATTGACTTAGCGTTTTTAGACACTTTACAGAGCTGCATTCCAACAAAACAGCTTGTGTTAAACAGCACACAGAAACATTTTCTGTTGGGACTGAAAAACATTTATTTGTCAACATTGTGACGCTGCTTTCTGGGAGCACCTTTCTGATCGGGTGAGCGCTGTTCAGCTCCTCGGGTTGAATGCAAATCAGCGAAAACAGATAAATCGTTCTGCAACCGGTTTAATGAATAATGACGGACAAGCCCATTTCAGCATTAGTGTAACACCGCATCCAAAGAAAGCTGTATTATGTAATTGTGAAAAGGGTTGATCACAGAGGAGATGCTCTGAAAAGCAAGGTATCTTTGTTAAAGCATGTAAAAAAAAGCTAGCTATATCAATTGCTCTATTAAATTATTTTTGAAACAGTGTTGTGGGATTTTTTTAAGCACAACCCAACTTCTTTCATTGGCTTTTTTTTTCTTCCATTTTATTACACAATAATTCAACAGCATACCTGAAAGTGCACCAACAATACAATTCTGAATATAAAAATGTCATTCTTTGCTGCAAAAATATGCAAACACTTTTTATGTTTTATAATAAATTTCAAGTGCTGCAAAAGTACAAAAAAATTCATAAAGACAAGGTCATATCAATGTAAAAAGAATTGTGTGTGTGTGTGTGTGTATGTATGTAAATATATAGGCAAAGCTCCCCTAAACTGTATTGACAGTTCCAAGAACGTTTTGTGCCAGAACTTGGAAAAACACAAGCCATATCACAGAGCTCGTACCTCCAAGGGTTATCCTTTTCGCCACTAGATGCCACTGATGGGGTCTGTAAAATAAACTTTGACAATCACACATTTTCTTAATTGGGATTACCTTGCAAATTATGTGTCAAAACTCTTGTAATGTTTAAAACTAAAAATGTCAAAGATAATAACCTTTTTTTTTTTTTTTACATATCATATTTGAAATCAAAATTAAACTATAACCGGGCTATGAAGATATTTTGATATAGCTACTAAATATGAAGTCTAAGCCTGTTTTACTGTAGTGTTTATAATCTAAATGGAAACATATCTCTGTCTTTAAAACATGTGCCAATCTACTGCTAGATAAAATACATGTATAAAACCACTGCCAAAGTTTGTGTACTGCTGTAACGCTCAGATTCAGAACATTTGGTCTTTTTACAATAAATAGAAAGGATCTTAAAGGATTAAAGCCATGGG